GTTTTGCTGCCCTTTTCACTCAAGTCCTCCCGGGCAGGGGACAATTTTTGAAAACGGTCCGTTCGGACTTTCTGTCCCTTGCCTCCTCTGTTTTTCGTGAGGACAACCCCTGAACAGCCACGGGAAGTTCTGGTTTTGTCCTGGGATTTCACCCCCTTGCCCACAATCCTTGGCTAGGCCCCATACTCTGATAGGCGCTCCCCAGGACGGATAGGGAACGCTGCCCGGGGCATGAGATTTCCCTGCGTATCTCAGGTTATACCATATTCAATGCGGGTAAGTTCAGTAGAGTCACAAGAAAGAGTTATATTTGCACTATGGGGCAAAATAGGTTTGCAATTGCAGTTGGGGCACCCTACCTGGCCAGAAAGCTGGGTTGTATACATTGGCCAAACCGCAATTCAAAACTGTATCTTGGCCCATAGTGCGATTATAACTCTTTTTTTTTTACTCCCGCGTAGTTTCTTCAAATTTAGGGGTAACTTCACAAAAGCGAGTGCAATTATAACACATTTTTTTTACTCCCGCGTAGTTTCCCCAAATTTATATTATCTGTGGATTCCTTGTCAGCCTTCTTCCCAGTTTTCGTCTTGGTGGAAGGAGCTGCACGTAGCACCGCTTGAACGTGGATTTTTTTTAAAAAGTCAGAACGCCCCTACGGGATGGAGCAAGCTCTGGTCACGTTCAATCATGAGGCGCCGTTTGGTGCAGAGGGTTATAGGCTCATCGCCTTGCTCTCGGATGAGGAGATGAACAACTGTAGAGAGAGAGCGTTGGATGATGTGTTGGAACCTCCGGGAACAAAACTCCCGATCGAGGGGAATGTGGTCCCCTTCCCACCAATGGGGGAGGTCAACCAATCCAAGTGTATGGTGCCAGATCCCGTTGTATGTGTTAAAAGTAGCGCCCAGCCCAAGGATCCTAAACCCCTCGTCGAGTTGAAGAAAATCTGGAATTATGGTCGACCGTATTTCAAGTGTCACTGTTTTAGTTTGAAGGGTTCGGATTGTGGCAAAGGGCCGACGTGGTTCGACCACTTCTTATGGTATGTATTTGCGAAAGTCGACACCTTCTTCCCAAATGGTCCTACACTCAAGTCCAGAGTCTTGAGCATGCTAAGGTGTCTAGCCGGCTTTTGGAAGCCTGCTATCCTCGCGTTGGTCACGCTCCTCCATATGAGAGAAATCATGATGACCCTCACCGCAAAGATTGTCGATAACCCTGACAAGAGCTACGACGCGATTCTGGCCAGTCTGCCTTGGGAAAAGCGGAAGTTCCCGAGGGCATGTGTGAGGATCGTTCTCCCCTCCAGATATGTCAAAAGAGAGAGCGGAATGAAACGTAAGAATGGGGAAGGATCCTCGTCCGCGATCCAGAAGAAGCAGAAGACCATCACGGAAGCGATGGCAGCGGTAGGTAGCGGTAAGTCCCAAGTTGAGCTTGCGTCTGGATCCCCGCAAACCCCTCTTACCTCAGAACCTGCGGATGCGTCCCCACCCAATTCCTCGATCACGTCGGTTGGAGGATCTGGCAGACGGATCAAGCTTCCGACCCTTGTCATCAGGTCACTCTCCAGAAGGAGCCCGAGACTGGCGCTGCTCTCCCGCTTCAAGAGTTGAAAATGCCCTAACAGGTATCATCCATTCTGTTGATTGCCTTGCAGGAATCCCGTGGCTCTCTGGTCCATGGCCCGCCAGGGAGAATGGTTTAGAAGGAGAACACGGGACGTGCTCGAATAGAGAAGAAATTTATCCATATCCTCTATAAGAGTAGGGTCATGGAAAGAGTGAATTATAAAAGGATCTTGAAGGGAGTACTTTCTCGGTATGTTGGGTTGGCAGTAATGGTAGTCTTTGCGAATGTGGTGTTTTGGATGGTTGTACGAAAAACCGGTTGCAAGCATGGTATACAAGCCGGCTGCGGTGTGTAGGGATTTTGAGCTGAAGGATTGGTATGATGACCTAAGTGCTAATGCGTATTGCCCATGTGGGAAGCGCAAATTTTTACCATTTCACGCACACGACACGGCGGATATGTCCCAGCCCTCCCCAGTCACATCCACCCATGTCCTCACTTTGAACCCCCGTATCACCACAAATTCATATCTTGAAGAGATGTTTCGCAAAGGTCTCAATCACATCCCACAAGCCCACCCGGACCCCTGGGCAGCGTTAGTTGAGTTCAATAGAGCCACAACCGCCGTATTACATTGGCTTTCGAATAATGTGTTTATCCCCCCTCCTCTAGTCAAGCAGATCTCGATTGACATGGAGAAGGAGTAACAAGAGATACTTCTGAAGAGTACTTTCTTTAGACCATGCGGAAAAAGGATGGAGGATAGGGAATTCAGTGCCGAGACTGAGGTCAAGTTTTTGACTGATCACCTGTTCATTGCAGGAACAGACAAAGCAGCCAATACTCCGTTCTTTGTATGTAAGAATTTGATCCGGGCATTGGCATTGGAAAGGCTCAGCGGGGAGGACTTTGTCCTTGCAAACGCTACGAAAGCTGATGTCATCAAGGAACTGGATTCCTCCTTGTCTACGAGGTTCCCGTTTTTGAGAATCTCGACCGAGGAGATCCCTTACTTGATGACCATCTTTAAGCAACATAAGGGGACATTCCGATGGCTCACCAATACAGCGTTCACCTTCCTGACTGGGGTTGCGAAAATATGTGATAAAGTTCTGGAATGTTTGTCGCTTGCTGTCATGGAGCATTGCAGGGAATCTGCGGACGCGGCCAGGAGGTTGGTAGGAGTTGATACACAATTCTGGTGGATTATTAACTCTGTGCAAGAATACTGCTTTAACCTACCTGACTCTGTATTTTTTCAGTGTTTTCTGCTGATATCACGAAGTGCTATGAAAATATCCCTATTGGCGGGGAACAGGATGGCCTGATGAGGGCTATCACGTTCTTTGTGAGAATAGCTTTCAAATATCTAAAGACACACAAGTCTCACATGGTAGTCCGCTGCAGAACTTGCATGGACGGTAAGATCAAGTGCACCACAATAGAGAAAGACTCGGGCGTAGCTATCGCGACTGATTTTTGCATGTCTGAGGATGATGTGGTCGATCTGAATCAATGGCTAATGCTGAGGTGTTTTGTGTCGCTTGGAGGAATAACTTGGAGGCAGGTGAGGGGGATTCTCATGGGTTTACCTTGCTCACCGATGTGGTGTAACGTGTACTTCTTCAAGTACGAATATGGCATGATTCGCAGGGTTCTTGCCGGCAGTAACCCTAACCTAGCTGGTCTTTTCAAGCACACGTTCAGATACATTGACGACTTGCATTCACTCAATAATCCGTTAATCCTGAAATTCCTGGACCCTGAACAGCCGAGAGGGAGTAACGATACCTTTTGGATCTACCCTTTGGACATGATTGAGATAAAAAACCAGACGGAGGTCTTTACATGTGGCCCCGATAACCTGATATATGGGCCTGAAATCGCAATTCTTGAACTTAGAAATCTCGGTCTTGTCAGAGACCTCAGGGGCGTTCAGGACCACGAAGTTCGACAAAACCCGGAACTTGCATTTCCCAGTGGTGAGGTACATTAAAATGGATTCGAATAGACCTGTGCCACAATCAATTAATATTATCATAGGACAGGTGGCCCTTATTATGCTCTTATGCAATGATCCTAAGGATGCGGCTGATGAAATTTTCCGAGTGACTATGACCATGAAGAAAAATGGGTTTAGTGAAAAGAGATGCAAGAAAGTAGCGATTAGTGTCCTTGACAAACCGGGTTCCTTTCAGCCCTTCAGAGCACCACCCACCGCTACAAAAATTTGCTTATTGGCGAGGCATGCCTCAAATTTTTCCACTTTTTTCCATTTTTTTCCACTGACTCTATGAGTGTGCATGTGTGAGTTGGTGTAGTGTGTTGAAGACCAAATGGTACCTAGCCCCCGGGTGGCCAGGTACCATTATCTGGCCCCCCTCCTGGACCAAGCAGCAATTGGTGGGGAAGGGGTGGGTCACACACACACACACACACACACACACACGCACACGCACACACACACACACATACCTACCATTGTTGCTTCTTTGCCCTGACCTTTCCTCCTGTATATCTTTTTAGTATTATTATCTTTAGGAATTGGCATGAGCCCTCAATTGTTAATCCCTCAAAAAAAGGGAAAAACAATCCCCCTAGATGAGAGATAAAATCAAGCCTTAGGGACTTTAGGGACTTCGCCACTAATCCCCAGCCCTCAATTGTTAATCCCTCAATTGGCAATCAGCGAAAAGCTAGCTTTAGGGACTTCGCCACTAATCCCCAGCCATTCCATCCCGCTCTCCTCTCGTCATTTCCATACCCCTCGTGTGGTTATGGGATATGAAGTCGTATGGAGGTGGTACCGGTCTTACACACACCTAGCCCCTTCTTTCGTATATGGAATTTTGATTTTTAAATTATGAATGTCTCACGTGTTTTTCTCTGAGCTGGTTCTTGATGGCTGTTGTTGGGTCCTGGGGTGATGGGTGTTTTTCCTAGTAACACTTCTCACGCAAGGAGCTCCCTGATAATAATTGTTTTCACTAAGCGATTCAGAGCTTTTGAGCGGCTGCTTAAGTCGCTAGTGCGTCCTACCCGTATGGAGTAGTTTTGATGCCAAGGGCATTCTCGGGTTGCTCGTATTTGGAAGTGAGGGAATGAGAGGAGTGAGATGAAGGATGGAGATGGATACCTACCCCAACAGGGACTGTCGTATTGGTTAGATAGGCGGAAACAGAAGGAGAGATGCGGAACAGGGGATTCCACTGTCTGATGTAGAGAACGGGACTAGGAGTGGGAGAGGAATGGAGCAAATGAGGGTAGACGTTGTCTTGGTCTGGGAATTTGATGGGGCGAAGGCTTAATGATGCCGAGATTTTACTGCTGCTATAGTAATGCCTTGAGACTAGGGTGTGGATACTTTTTGCTCGCAGGAAGGGGGTCGTTGTTTTTTGAAAAGGGAAGCAGTAGTCGCTCGAATTCATTGTAACTATTTTTCTGAGTCACACTTCATCCTTGGTCCTCGTGATTGATCAGTTTGTGGAATTTCATCTACTTGCGTCTTTACTTGTCTCACTATCTTTTCTTGATGGGTCACTTGAAGAGATTGGCAGTCGTCAGTAAAATGGCCATTTCCTTGTCCCATGAGAACATATATATCACCTGATTAGTGTGCTTTCCTCATCGGGTGGTTTGTACTCATAGAATCTGGTATGGAGTTGATAACTGGGGTTAATAGTACACACAAACATCACACACACACACACACACACACACACACACACACACACACACACACACACACACACACACACACACACACATAATCCCGCAGGGAAGAAGGCCAGTACAAATGTACATGACTGTAGAAGGTCCTCGTCGCGGGGAGTGGGTTACATCACATGGGTCGAACCCCCTTTCCTTGTCAGAAATTGAACAGCATCTGCGGTTAGTGGTTTCCAACACTTGTATCTACACAAGGCATGGCACTCTGCGCCATCAGGCGATAGGTATCCTTAAGCTAACGGCACTAGCGCTGGACCAGAAATTGCCAACGTTACGCTCTATTGGGATGAAGCACAGCTCGTCGATGAACTTCGTCAGCGGGATCTGTGCATTGTGCAAGCATAATAGCATATGCATTCACATACCGATTCACTGATGACATGTCATCTCACAAGACATCACAGCCCCCTTATGCTCGATATGGTCTTGAGTGGAAGGATACTACTGAGCAAGATGGGTCATGACTTTTCCTTGGGGCAAGAATGCTGGTTCGGCCAGACGGCTCACTTCCACAGCGTCACCGTTCTGTTTCTCCAGGCAGAAGGGTGCCACCGGAAACGCCAAGTAGAAAAGGGATGTCACACCGAAAAGCTAAGGGTGTACTCACACACCAGCACTAACATAAATGTATCTGACCGCATTTACGGAGGGACGTGTAAGCTTTCATCTGACCGCAATTGCGGACAGAAGTAAGGGAAAAAGTGCTAGTGTGAGTACTCATGCATTCATGGATGGGATGTAAGTTATATCATGTATCATTGAAATGCTAAGCATCCATGCGCATATGGTGATGAACTAAAAATTTACAATTTATTAAAAAAAACAAAATCGAAAGAAAGAAAAAACAATTCCAAAGAACTAAAAGCTAGTAAGACAAAAGCTATTTGAATTATGAACTGCGTTTTTTTGTTTTCCTTTTTCAAAGGGAAAAAGCTTTTATCAAGTTTTATGGCTTTGGATGGAGAGTTTCTATGCCCAACTTAAAGATTATATTTAAAAAAAAAATTGAAAGGAAAAAAAAAAAAAAACTTAAAAAAAGCCTTTTTTTTACGAAGGGAAAAAAAAAGCTTTCATGACTTTGGCTGTGGAGTTTTGATGCCCATGTAGTTTTCCATCGCCTCTGTCGATTGCTTGCCGAACTGCCGCTGAAAGTAGCGAGCGAGAGGGTACATAGCTGACGTGATCAAATTTGCCGGCCGGGAGAAGGCCATGACCTCATACCACACCGAATCGTCTTCACGCCAATCGACCGCAAATCGCTCTTCGCCGGCCTGAAGAAGGAAAAAGACAGTGACACATCATATCCAGTATTATGCATGGTAATGCGTCCAAAAACTTACTTCAGCAAAGGGACTTTTTCTTTAGTTTTTTTTTTTTTTTTGGGGGGGGGGCGGTGGGGGAGAAGCAATTTGCAAAATACCCCCATAAGTTGAGATACATGCCAAAATGCCCCTGAAAGATGCGGGTAGAGGGGAATGCCCTTTTGGGCCGAAATCTTTGTGTTCTGCCCCTGTCAGGCAGGTGTGCAACTTTGCAATCTGGACTTCCCCGTTTGGGCCTTGGCCCCCTAGGAAGTACTGGGGCATTTTGCAAAGTTGCACGGTACCCGGTAGGGGTATATTGCAAAGATGGGTGTCCAGCCAACGCCAGGGGTATTTCACAAAATATGTTTTTTGTAAGAGGGGCATTCGTCTCTACCCACATCTTTTAGGGGCATTTTGGCATATATCTCAACTTCTGGGGGTATTTTGCAAATGATCCCTTCTTTTTTTTTTTAGGGAAAAAAAGATTCTGGGCTGCCAGCCAGGCCGCCTGCGTCACCTTAGTTGCTCAGGCGGCCTGGCCGTGCAACGGTCAGGGAAGGTCCCAACAAAAAAATAAAAAAGGAAAAAAATCCCAAAATTCCAAAAAAAAAAAAAAAACTGTGTGATGCGAAAAAGAAAAACTGAACATTTTTTTTTTTTTTCCTTCTTAAAAAGGGAACTTTTCAATTACAGGCTGGGAAATGCGCCCAGCGTCCCTCACATCAATAGCCACATCCCACAGGGATGAGCCAGGCACTCTGGCCAGGCTTAAACCACTACTACGGTCTTCCCCCGAACACAACGCACCCTCATTTTGGCTGTATCTGGCCGGAAGTATAACTCGTATACATTCATTTTTGGGGTGCGTTATGTTCGGGGGAAGACGGCTCCAGCCTTGCAGTTTGAAACTTGTCGCCACAAGACAACGCTGGGCTGCGCCGCAATGTCAAACGTTTTTCGCGCTTCCAGAATTTGAGGATCTGGGGCTGCGCCTGTCATCGATAAATTGGATCTGGGGTCGCATTTTCGTTTTTCGCGCTTCCAGAATTCAAGGAGTCAGGCCCACGGCCCAGCTGCCGGCCCAGCTGCCGGCCCAGCTGCCCCACCTGCCCATGTACTGGTGTTTTAACCCGACCGCAGCAGAAAATTTTAAAGTAGAACTTGCCTTTGCCAGCTCTCTGGAGATCAGTCCTTAAGTCACACTGCTGGCTCGCAGCCCGTAATAAAGCGACACCTCATCTATAGCTTCACTCTCTGTATGCACACTAGGCAGAGTTAGAAAGCCAACTCGTACTCCTTCAACTATCTAGTATTCATCTGCAGCTCCCCCTAATCCGCATTGCGCCCATTATATGTCCATTCCATGTCTAGTTAAAAGATAAGAAGCATAGACATATAATGGACATATAATGAACATATAATGGACATATAATGGGCGCAGTCCCGATTAGGGGGAGCAGCAGATGAATACTAGATACTCGAAGCAGTACGAGTTGGCTTTCTAACTGTGCCTAGTATGCAGACAGAGTGCAGAGTTCAAATTCAGAAATGCATTAAAAAATCCACCTAAGTCTCCCCTAAGATACAGTTCCTTCTTCTTTTTCTTTTTTCCACAATTGGAGTGGCATACGTGACGTCCGAAGAGTCACTCCGATCCTATGAAGAGTTTCCCTATTCGCCCTATCCCCGTAGTCGACGCATATGTGGTCCTTCAAAGGTCGCACCAAATTGCCCGTAGTTCACGCATCTTCAGTCCTTCAAAAGTCGCACGAAAATAGCGAAGTACAAACGAATTCACAGATTTCTCAAAACATGATAAAATAACATTAAAACAAAAAACTCCAGAAAGGATGCCAACGGTCGTCAAATTGGTTGTCTCCAAAAAAGGAGACAGCTAGCTCAACGGAAAGTGGCGAGGGTACGGGGCGTAGCATTCGAGAAAACGTCATTTTTGGAACTATTTTGTTGGAATAAGAAACCCGATAATATCTATTCACTTTTCAAAAAAGAGAGGACCGCTGGATGATTGCTAGGGCGTGCATCTCCTTCGTCGCCTACAGTCGCATATGTCGAACGTGGACCTAGCTCAACGGACGAAGTGGGAGGAGGACAAGAGTCACCAAATGCAAATGAATAAAAAAGACAAAAAAAAAAAAGAAAGAGTCCGCAAATGACTTGGCAAACTGGGCTACCAAGCCGGAGCCAAGGTCCCACTAGCAAACAGGATAGGATTAAAGGTCTGAATCTGGACTCTTTTGCGGAACATGTCTAAGACAATACCTTACCTTATCCCAAGAGGCTCGACTCTTGCGAGAGCCAACGAAGGCCTCTAGCGAGCCTCTGGAGGCTCGCCGCAGAGTTGGAAACAAATATAGGAAACACAGCATGGTATAGACAATTTAGAGTTAGGTTTCATAAGGATAAATAAGCTCAAATTAGTTAAACGCAAGTCAACTTTGGAGACTTCCATTACTCCATAGGCCGTTGTGAAGTGCAGAATCTCAGGATAGATCTGCTGTTCTGCATCTCTGTCTAACACACGTCCAGATTCAGGCGGTTATTCCAATCCTCTTTGCTAGTGGGTGCTCGCCTCGGGGGGCCTGGGTCACCGTGGTTGGCCTGGCGGCCCGGCCTGGCCGGGCAAGGGCCAGGGAAAAGGTCCCCGCAAAAAAATCCAAGAAACAAAATTGTTATGCAGAAAAAAATACACGGACAAGGCGAGGTCCCACTAGCAAAGAGGATTGGAATAACCGCCTGAATCTGGACGTATTTTACACAGAGATGCAGAACAGCAGATCTATCTTGAGATTCTGCACTTTCCCGGCCGGGGACACCTCGGCTGACCTGGCTACTCCGGGGGCCAAGTCCCACTAGCAGCGTTGAGCTACCTCAACGCCTGAATCTGGACGTGTTTATGGAGACGTGCAGTTCAGGAAACTCAACACCATTTCTGCACATCTCCGCAAAAGCGTCCAGATTCAGGCGTTGAGGTAGCTCAACCCTGCTAGTGGGACTTGCCCCCCAGCCATCACGATGCGGTATGGAGGACACGTAGCTCAGCTCAGCTTGTTGATATTGGAATCATACAGCTGCGCTGAGCTGAGCCGAGCTACGTTTTTTTTTTTTTTTGGAACTCGGGTCTGTACTTAAGCAGTTCACGGCTGTACCAACTGAGGGCGTACTCACACACTAGCACTGTGTTAAATGTACCTGACCGCATTTACGGCCGATCTTAGACGAATCTGGGCGTAATTCCGTCCAGAAGTAAGTAAAAAAGTGGGAGTGTGAGTATGCCCTGAGCTAGACTCCTTGGTAGTTGACCATAGTTCAATTTGAGTTTGTCTCAAGTTTGGAGCGGGCCGAGGTTCATCGAGCAAAGAGGAGAGAGAGAGAGAGAGAGAGAGAGAGAGAGAGAGAGAGAGAGAGAGAGAGAGAGAGAGAGAGAGAGAGAGAGAGAGAGAGAGAGGAGCTCGCTCCTGACCTTGTTAGAATTTGTTAGATTTGTTGATTGCTCCAATTTTTTTTTATTTTTTTTTAGGTCAACTGATCACCTATTAAAATGATTTCAAAACAAATTCGTTCCGAAGATCCCCTCTCTATCTTTGCCCCCAGAAGTATCTGCTCTGCTGGGAGGTTAATAGCTAACACCCGTGTTTCTTGCGAACCTGCCATTTCAAACAGCCTCCTTAAACGAAAACTAGCTCGAACACGTGAACCAAAGTCTGCAAGGAACCAAGGTGAAAACACCATTCCCGGCATTATGAACGAGTCCATGGAAGTTTAGGTCTTGGAAGCATGTGTGTTCACTTGATTACAAGATCCAGGACACAGAGGGAGATATCAGGAGCCAAATGGCATCTGAAAAACAGAGCCAGAGAGAACGAGGATAGGCAAAAAGGCAATCAGCACAAAGCCGAAATCTATCTGCTGTCTAAGCCTTGGCCTTCGCCGCCGGCTTGTCCTTATGCTTCCCAACCTTGCGTACCTTCTTTACGATCTTCTGCTCCTCGACAAGGAACGCTCTCACGAGACACGGTTAGCGCACATGCTGTTTTATCTCGATTTCCTTCACCTCTCCCTCAAACACGGTTATGGGACATCCTCCCACAACCTTGAGTACCTTCTTCACCACCGTATGCTCGGTTCACTCTCTTCTGTCTGAGGGACATCCTCTTGTAGTCCGTAGGACGCCTATGGGGTATCCCAGGAAGTCTGTTGGGACAATTGGAGCAAATGGGTCCCTGCCCTCTCTTCCCTGGGTAGTGGAATGTGAGACGCCCACCGGGCGTCTTGACCACTGGCGTCTGATTGGACTTCGAAGCGTACGAGTGCCGCCTGCGGTACGTTAAACGCTGCACCATGGTTGCTATTTGGTGCTACACTGTTCTATGATCTGCTGAAGGCGATGCGGAAAGGAAGAAGTCGGCCGCAATGCAATCCAGGCCGGCTAAAGCTATGGCGGAATGTGCGAAAGGGGGTTGCTCCAATTTATTATTATTATTATTTATTTATTTATTTTATTTTATTTTATTATTTTTTATTTTTATTTTTTTCGGTTGCTCCAATTTGGAGGAGAGGCCTTCTGAGATTTTGTGGGAGCTACCATCTTCGCCCGAACATAATGAACCCTGATCATGAATGTATAGAAGCTATCTTCCCTGTCCGATACAGGCAAAACGAGGGTGCGTTATGTTCGGGGGAAGACGGCAGCGGCCGGCTAGCAACGGCCAGGTTTTACCTTGAAGTTGCCGTTGGCGGGATTGTTCCCCACTCTAGGCCGATATGGGGCCTCGCTGCACTACTGTACTCTCGAAATGTGCAAAACGAGAGTGAATCTTCCGCTAGAACATGGAAAGATGCACCGCCATGATTTTTGTCTTTTGTGCATGTCGAGAGTAGCGCAGCGAGGCCCTATATTTCACCAGCGAAACGCGTTGGCGCCATCCCAAGTTCGACGAATGCACAAAAAGACAAATAATATGTCCGTGTATCCGCCCCTCTTCTGGCAGAAGATTCATTCTCATTTTGCATAATCGGCAAGCGGGAAAGATGCACCGCCATGATTTTTGTCTTTTGTGCATGTCGAGAGTAGTGCAGCGACGCCCATGATATTTCACGACCACCACAGTTAACCCACCACTGGTTAACGTTAGTCAATTTTATACGAAGCTGACCTTTTGGCTAGAAATAGATCAAGTGCAGTGCATCTGTTCTGATCAGTTTAATATCTGATTCTAGCCGTCCATCGGACCACACGATATTAAATTATATAGCTTTGTGGGCTTTGTCCTCATTGCTGTTTATTGCGTACTCTGTGTGCGGTCAGTTACTGCGTACTTTGTGTGCGGTCGCCCGTCACATATCATCCTCATATCATCCGATATGATGTCTAGGTGCAGAAGAGCCTAGGCTTGTGACACACTTTGCGAGGGGGACGCCGGTCTCGGTTCCAGAATTGTAATATGATTAAAAAAAAAAAAAAAAAGTCCGCAATGATGGGTCTCGCTCCACTACTCTAGAAACCGGCCATTTCTTGAGCGCGGCACCGCTCCACTTAGAGGCTCGCCACACAGGCTGTCAGGCTGTCGAAAAGCGAGTTTTCGACAGTTTTGCATCGCCACACATACTGTCGACGAAATCCGTTTCAGAATGTTTTCGACATGTGTCAGATTTGTGGTTTCGACAGCCCTGTCGAAACTCTCGTTTCCTCCCGCCTGCAGCTCAAGGATGTTTGACAGTGCGCCGCCGACCTTTCGAGAAACGCCTCCCATTTCCCATTGTCAGGGACAGATCCCTGACAGGTGTGCCGTCTTTTGTGACGGTTGCGCGATAGTTGCTCCAAATTCCCCTCGACAGCCTCGCCCCTCGACAGGCTGTGTGGCGAAGGGGGGAAAACTGTCGAAGAACAGGCTGTCGAAAATTTCCTGACATCTGTCGAAAATTCTCGACTTTCGACAGCCTGTGGCGAGCCTCTTACTCTACACGCTAGGTCTGGGGAATTCGGGTTCTTGAGCTGTCAGTATCTACTCACGAAAATGGCGAGAATAGAATTCGTCGTCGCTCCACTACCTCATGAAACACACTCACGAAAATGCATTTCTTGGGTTGTTGTCAGAACCTCCTCTTCCGTGGGACTCTTGACGTTTTGAGAGCTCCCGCCTGCAGCGGCGGGAATTTCAAGGGAGGCATCCAGGACCTTCGAAAGTTGAGCATTTTTTTGGAGGGCACCTGGAGTCTGGGCGGACAACAACGTGCTGGCCGTGTAGCTCTCTCAAAGAGCAGTCTGATATCCGCGCCGCCTTCTTGAGTTCGACCTTCTAGAGTAAGTGGAGCGATGTTCTCTTTTTCAGTCGTTTCTAGAGTCTGACAGCTCTAGACTAGCACTTGAAAATCTTCGAGAGTCTAGAGTAGTGGAGCGAGACCCCATGTCTCGTGACTTTCATGAGTGGCAGGTCCAACGAGCAAAGAGGATTATTGGATCAAACAAATGAATTTGGACACGTTTGTGGAGAGATGCGGAAAATTGATATACACCTCCTATTCTGCATCTCTGCATAAAACGCATCCAGAGTCAGAAGCATAATTCTATCCTCTTTGCTAGTGTAGGGACCTCGACCAGCGTGTTGTTCGCCTCGCCGACAGTTCAGTGGTGTAGTGTAGGGGCCTCGCTGCACTACTCTTGAATCTTGAAAGTTTTCAAGAGCTCGTCTAGCACTGTCAGACTCTTGGATTCGCATCAAGTGCTGTCGTCGCTGCACTTACTCCGGACCCTCGACTCTCGTGATCATTCGCGACTGTCGGACAGACAGTACACGACAGTGCAGCGACGATTTGTCCACCGAGACCGGAGGCCAACTCTCGAATTTGCAAACCGCACGAAGGGACCCGTCGGCCTCGTTTGAAAAAAAAAACGCTCCTGCAGGCGGGAACTGTGGAAACTTCATGAGCTCGTCTGATGGGCCATTTCTTTCTGACACCTCTTGGAGCGCCGGACCAAGAGCAGTTTTCCACAGTTAGTGCAGCGACGACTCACTCTCGACGTTTTCGAGAGTGAATCTCAGACTGACAGCTCTTGAATAGAAATCCAGGAAGCGGCATCAAGAGTTAGAGGCTCGCCACGCAGGCTGTCGAATGTCGAAAATTTTGGACAGGTGTCAGAAAATTTTCGACAGTTGGGCGGTCGAACAGTTTTCCCCCTCTTCGCCACATAGCCTGTCGAGGGGCAAGGTTTTTGGTCATGGCCAGGCGGACGGGTGTCACGGAACAGTCCCTGACAACGCAAATTCGAACCTGACGCCGCAAATGTGAACGCAATTTTCGAAAGGTCGGCGGGCCACTGTCGAATTTCCGTCACCTGCAGGCTGGACTCTGGAGGAAATGGTTGCTGGAGGGCGGCTGTCGGAAGGAGGACCATTCTGACACCGGTCGAAAGTTTTTTGAGCCGCAAGTCTTGGAAAGTCTGTGTGGCGATGCAAAATTGTCGAAAATAGGGTTTTCGACAGCCTGTGTGGCGAGCCTCTTAGTGCAGCGGTGATGAACTCTTGATTTTTCAAGATTCAAGAGTAGTGCAGCGAGGCCCTACCGGTAGTTCTGGATATCTCACCAGGAAGTGGCCCTTCTAGGTATGGAGATAAACCTGCTCTTTTTATGCATCTCTCAATAAAACACATCCAGATTCAGGCACTTAGTCCTCAATAACTCGTCCGAGATAAACGCATCCTCTTTGCTAGTGGGACCGCAACCCACTGTCAGGTGTTGTTCATCGATAGTTCAGTGGTATAGTCATCAAAGTCTCACCAGGAAGTGGCCCTTCAAGGTATCATCGAGATAAACCTGCTTTTTCTGCATCTCTGCATAAAACACATCCAGATTCAGGCACTTAGTCCTAATATCCTCTTTGCTAGTGGGATCTCAACCCACTGGCAGGTGTTTTTCACCGATAGTTCAGTGGTTTAGTCATCGATGTCTTCTTACCAGGAAGTGGCCCTTCAAGGTGCCATGGCCAAATGCAAAGCTTGCCCTTTTCTTCATCGTTGACACCTCATGGCACTGCTGGCCTTTCTCCTTCTGCTGTCTAATCTGCCTCCCCACTTCTAATGCCCCACTGGACTCCAAGTAATTTTCTGTCTTCTCACTGGCCCGTACTCTCGTCTGCGACTTCGAAGGGGCTCCTGTCCTCCACATTGTCACATGCTTCATGGATACCGAACCTGCAGCAGCAGCACCGGCAGCAGCACCAGCAGCAGCAGCACCAGCAGCGGCACCAGCAGTAGCAGTAGCAGTAGCAGTAGCAGTAGCAGTGGTTGTCTTCTCAGCTCCTGAGAGGCCATCGTAATCTTGTACATAAACAATTTCGAGCGGGTTTAGGACCCACACTGCAAGCGTATGTGCGCAAACACACACCTTTGAGCCCACCGCAATCGGCGTGGAAGGGTTTACAAATGCCCATGGTAATTGAAATTGCCTGCTTTCGCCAAAGGGGGGGGGRGGGGGGGGGGGGGAGAGAAAAACAGCAACAGGAGGCGAGATTAAGAATTTAGAAAGTCAATATAAAAGATTTAAAATTGGGGGAAAAAAAAAAAAGGAAGTCATTATAAACCATATATATACATATATAAGTAGATCTACCTACCGTAGTCTACCTTTCCCTGTCCACGGAGCTAACGGAATCAAACTTCTCTGCTCTGCTTTTGTAGCCTTGTCTGCACCTACCGTCTTCATCCGAGTAGAACGCCCGGTCATTATATAGCTGCATTTGGCCCAACTTTCAGTCCAGATGCAGCGATAATGACCAGGCGTTCTATTCGCGTCAAGACGGCAGCCAGTATCGTAGCTTCATCGTCGCTTTCAATTTGCATACCCGGCGGATTTTTTTATTATTTTTATTATTTTTAATTATTTTTTAAATTATATTGTTTTTTAATTATTTTTATTATTATTATTATTTTTTAATTATTTTTTAATTATTATTATTTTTTAATTATTTTTTAAATTATTATTATTTTTTAATTATTTTTTAAATTATTATTATTATTATTTTTCCCCCCGGCGGATTACACTAGTAAATAACTTCGTCAATCCTCCTTGCGTATTTTAGACAATCGGGGACAACAAGCATACATAAGTATACCCCCCGCGTTGTAATCGAGCGGACACAGTACTGAGCATGAGCACTTCAAAGTTCAAACACTTTCTTATACCCAATCACCAATCACTTCATCAATCTTGATACATCTTCTTCTATCAATAGACAGATCTGTTTCCTAAAAAGGCGAAAGACAATCTAATAGCTGAGCAGCGGACACTTCAACAATTTGCATACACCTAAAAAGGAGGGGGAGGAAAGTGAGGTAGCAATCTGTTCCCTAAGCTGACCCCTATTAATAATAGAGTAGTTTGGAGAAACGATGTACCCGTAGAGCTACCGTCTTCCCCCAAATAGAACGCCCGGTCATTATATAGCTGCATTTGGCCCAACCTTCGGTCCAGATGCAGCCAGCTATAATGACCGGGCGTTCTATTCGGGTGAAGACGGTAGTCACGAAGGAGGGACTGAAGTCGACCTCGCTGAATCCAAAGGGCGATGGACGGATGACCATCGCGCGCGACGACGACAAAACCTGCCATCCGTTCTTTTTTTTTCTTTTTTTTCTTTTTTTTTTTGGTGGGGGGGAGGGGAGAGGACTGACATCCGTTCCGATTCCGGCGCAAGAACATAACGGTTCCCTCTTTTTTTTTGTTCTTTTTTTTTTACTTATAAGCTGAATGATTTTGTGTATTTTAACTTTCATTTTGTGAATTTTAACTTTCATTTTGTGAATTTTAACTTTCATTTTGGAAAGAGTTTTTTAGTATAGATTGATTGGTATATACTTGTTTTGGAAAGAAGAGTGTATACAAATTGTTATTTTTAAAATGCATGGCCCTGTTTGTCTATCATAAAGCGAATATGAGAGAGTCATAGCATATGCTTGCCAAAAAAAAAAAAAAAAAAA